GGTGACAGAGTGAGACTCCAACTCAAAAAAAAAAAAAAAGAAAAGAAAAGAAAAAGAAAACTGCCACTATTTTTAAAAACTTTAAGGGCTGTAAGTAGTGGTTAACGCCTGTAATCCCAGCACTTTGGGAGGCCAAGGTGAGAGGATTGCTTGAGTCCAGGAGTTTGAGTTCAGCCTGGGCAACATAGTAAGACCTTGTCTCTATAAAAAATAAAATTAGCTAGGTGTAGTGGCTCATGCTTGTAATCCCAGCATTTTGGGAGGCCAAGGCAGGAGGATCGCTTGAGTCCAGGGGTTCAAAACCAGCCTAGGTGTCATAGTGAGACCTAGGTGTCATAGTGAGACCTTATCTCTACAAAAAATAAAAATTAGCTGTGCGTGGTGGTACATGCCTGTAGCCCTGAGCCAATGAGGTCAAGGCTATTGTCAGCTGTGATCATACCACTGCACTCCAGTCTGGGTGATAGAAGGAGACCTTAAAAAAAAAATTAGGCAGGTGTGGTGGCATGCACTTGTAGTCCCAGCTACTCGATAGGCTGAGATAGAAGGATCACCTGAGCTCAGGAGGTCAAAGCTCAGGAGGTCAAAGCTTGTGCTACTGCACTCAAGCCTGGGCAACAGACCATTGCTCAAAAACAAACAAACCCCCCCCAAAAAACTTTTAAGAAAGCTTTTTATGTATTCATATAGAACAAACTCCAAGATACAACAAATGGAAAAAACAAGTTGCTTAAGGAAGAATGGGGGATTGAGCAAACATAAGTGAAAAAAAAAAGTTGCAACACTAGGTATACAGTATGTTATTATTCATATGAAAAAGAGGGAGGGGCCAGGTGTGGTGGCTCAGCACTTTGGGAGGCCAACGTGAGAGGATTGTTTGAGTCCGGGGGCTCAAGACCAACCTGGGAAACTTGGCGAGACCTCATCTCTACAATAAATCAAAAAATTAGCCAGGCATGGTAGCGTACACCTGTAGTTCTGGCTACTTGGAAGGTTGAGGTGGAAGGATCGCATCGCTGGAGTCCAGCAGGTCCATGCTGGGGGTGGCCATGAGCGTGACACTGCTGTCTAGCCTGGGCAACAGTGAGACTCCAACTTAAAAAAAAAAAAAGGAGGAAAAAAATGTTTTGTTTTTTTGGTTGTAGAAACCATCTACTGCTATGGAAAAAATTTGTCATCTCAGTTGACGTGGGTTGGGAATCCAGGCACATCGGGGGCTATGAGTCTATCAGAAGGCCCACCTGGGGGAGGGAGGGTCACTCCTGGGGCTGTTGGCTGCCATGGTCTCTCAGATGAGCCTCTCCAAAGGGCTGTCTCCCACATCACAGCTGACTCCTTGCAGAGTGAGTGATCCAAGAATGAGATAGCATCCAAGATGGAAGCTGCAGTCTTTTTTCTTTTCTCTCACTCTGTGACCAGGCTGGAGTGCAGTGGCACAATCATAGCTCACTGCAGTGTGGAATTGGGCTCAAGTGATCTTCCCATCCCAGCCTCCTGAGTAACTGAGACTATAGATGTATACCACTACAGCCAGCTAATTTTCATAAAATTTTTCCATAGAGACAGGGATCTCACTATGTTGCCCAGGTTAGTCTCAAACTTCTGGCTTCAAGTTATCCTTCTACCTCAGCCTTCCAGAGTTAGGATTACAGGTGTAAACCACTGTGCCCAGCCTGCAGTCTTGCTTTTATAATCTATTTTCAGAAGTGACATCCTATGACTTCTGCAGTAGTCTATTTATCAGAAGCAAATCTGTAAGATCAGCTCACACTGAAGGAAAGGGGATACATAAGGGCATGAACACTAGGGGTGGGGTCTGGGGGCTACCTTAAAGGATACCTACCACACTTACAGAGGCAAATAATATTTCTGGAAGGATATACTAGAAACATTTAATATTGGTTGCCTCCAGGGAAGGGAATTGGGTAACCGGGAAAGGAGAATTTTTCACTGAATATGCTTTTGTATACTTTTACAATGTGAATGTACTACTGATTTTAAAAATAAATAAAATTTATTTTAAGTTTAAAAGGAATGAAAAGGATGGTATTTTAATAGACAAAAAACTAAGAGGGAACAAAATTAAAACAAACAAATATTTCATATATAGTTATTACTAAGTACCATAAACATATTTGTTTCTATTTAGTAATTAATCACTTGTTTTCAATGAGGGAAGCTTAAAAAGCTCTTTATCAGCTGGGCTCGGTGGCTCAGCCTATAATCCCACGCTTTGGGAGGCTGAGGTGAGTGAATTGCCTGAGCCCACGGGTTCGAGACCAGCCTGGGCAACTTGGTGAGACCTCATCACTACAATAAATCAAAAAATCAGCCGGGCGTGGTAGCGCATGCCTGTAATTCCAGCTACTCGAAAGGCTGAGGTGGAAGGATCACTGGAGCCCAGCAGGTCGAGGTTGCAGTGGCCAGGAGCAGCCACTGCACTCCAGTCTGGGCGACAGAGTGAGACTCCAACTCAAAAAAAAAAAAAGCTCTTTATCATACACAAGCAAGCAAGCAACTCTCATTTGTAGAATAAAACACATACTCTTAAGCTAGGACTTAGGGCTTTTTTCACTTTGGTTTCAGTCCACCCTTGCCAACCCATTCCTGCCATTCTTCTATCCTTCTATGAACTCTAGTTACTTGCTGTACTGAACTATTGATATTTGCCAGTTCTAGAGGGTGAAAGTAACATGTACTATGCCTGGCACATAGCAAACTTTAGGTAAATGTTAGCTTCCATTCTATCTTAAAGACCGTCGCTTTTGCTTAGACTGTTCCCTGTGCATGGAATGGCCTGTACCCTTCTCCCAAGCCCAAGAGAAATTCCCCTCAAGGCCTACCTCAGATGCCACTATCACTAAGTAGTCCCACAGGCAGTGAGTTATCACCTCTAATCTCCCACAGCACTGTTTTTACCTCAACTATAACATTTGTATTCTTGTTTTACAGTGTTGTATCTCAAATCTGGTCCTTGAACCATCAGCATTAACAACACATGGGACCTCATTGGAAATGCAGAATCTCAAGCCCCATCTCATCTCAGACCCACAGGATCACGATCTAAACTTTAACAAGACATCAGTGATTTATATGCACATTGCAGCTTCAGAAACACTGATTTAAAACTTTCCTTGGTTGAACTATAAGCCCTTCTAGGGCTCTCCTTCATCTTTGTGCCCAGAGCTCATTACAAGACATGATACTCAAATGTTTTTTGAGTTAAGTTTTATTTACAATAATTATGTACATGATTTTTAAATCTGTTAAATTCCTGGAAAAATATATATCAGATTATTAATAATAGTTATCTGGTAGATGGAGAACGGTGCATTTCTATGTAATATTTTTTCATTCGGAATGTATTACCTTTACAAACAGAAAAACATAAAGATTTAGAAAAATCCATGTAAAATGTAAGATAAAATGTAAACTGTAAGATATAATACACTCATAAAACATATAAAATGTACATAATAGTATATAATTATGTTGGGCATATTTAAAGATGGCCAAGTTATATTAAGTTAAAAAGACAACTTATGCCAATAATAGCATGTTTGTTCTTCAAAGAAATTTGTAAATAGATACTGAAAGGATACATGTCAAAATGTCTCTGGAATTTATTTTAAATTTTTCTACATTTTAAATTTTCTTCTAGTTTTCCTATGATTTTTATAAACATGTATCACTTCTGTAATGAGGGAAAAAGTTATTTTCATTTTGAAAATAATAATCTATAATATTTATTAAGGACCTTTACATCCAGTGATCAAGACTTCTACAACATCCTGGGAAGCTGAGAGGTCTGAAAGTAACACAACCATTGCATAGGTGAAGTCACTTGGCTTCAGAAATGTAATTCCCAACTCAGAGGACTGTGGCAAGTCAGATGCCAGCTTTGGCCCTAAAACCCCTCTCACTCTGGGAGTCTCATTATCCCCAGTTACTTTCTCTCAGATGGTAACAGCAACAGGGGAACACGCTTCAAAGACAAAGTATTCAGAACTATTCATGCTGCACCAGCTCCCCCTGGTGGCAGGCTCTGGAAATCGGTCAAAACTGTTTAAATACATTTTCTATCAACATCACTCTTATTTATTTCTTCTTTAAACCACTTTCTCTTTTGTCAAGGATTCCGGTATTGACACTGAAACAGAAACCCAGGCCAGGCGCAGTGGCTCATGCCTGTAATCCCAGCACTTCGGGAGGCCGAGGCAGAAGAATCACTTGAGGTCAAGAATTCAAGACCAGCCTGGGCAACACATCAAGACACTGTCTCTACAAAAATAACTAGGCCAGGTATGGTGGCAAGTACCTGTAGTTCCAGCTACTTGGGAGGATCAACTGAACCCAGAAGTTCAGGGGTGCAGTGAGCTATAATCGTGCCACTGCACTCCAGCCTGGGTAATAGAGGAAGACTCTGTCTCCAAAACAAAAAAACAACAAAACCCCACAAAGCCAGGAGTTTGGTGCTTCAGATGATGGGCCAAGGGTACTTCCTTCCTTACCACTTCAAATTTTCTGATGGATACAAAGGCATTGTATCATCAGTACTGTCTTTCCTGCTTTCTCTTACCTCCATCTATTTCCGAGGCTCAGAAAAGCGGTGGCCCATGTATTCTCAGTCATGACCTGGCATGGAGAAACTCCAACATCAGTGACATTTAGCACCAATCTTCCCAAGACCCAGTCCATAGGTTCTAGACATGGATATTCAAACATGTCAGGTTGACCTGCTGGGCTCATGCGATCCTTCTTTAGAAATACCAGAGTGCAGTGATATCAGTCTTCAACTGTGGGGCCCCTGGTCTCCAGATAAACATACAGCTTCCTTATTCTTCCAGGAAGAAAGAAACATTCAACAAGATATCTGGAAAAGGAAAAGAGAAAAACTGACATTATCACCTCTCCAGAAAACACAAAATATCAGATTTATAAAAGACACAGAGGCACAGCAAGGGCATCTCTAACGCTTCCAAAGAGATGAGCCATGGGACAGAAAGGAGGAAAGGAGACATGAAGAAAGAAACAAAAACCAGTACCTCGTACAAGGTCTTGGTGTTCATCTTTTGAAATTCGGTCCCAGGCCTTTGGCAAAGCTTGAATGTTTGCCAAGTCTCCCCACTGGATCGAGGAAAGGAGGTACTTTCTCTTCAGGTACCTTCCTGCAAGTTAAGGACTTGCAAGAAGAAAATGAAATATGTTGAAGGGGAAAAAAAAATATCCTGGTGAGAGCTACAAGTAACTATAAAAGTGAAAAGTGCGGCTATCCTTATATTTTACCAGATGGGCAGAACTCACCAATGCAACAAATACTACCTGGACAAATCTTTACTAACAAGGCTTTGTGCCACAGGGAAAGAGGAATGAAACACTGTCCCTGAAATTTGAGATCTCACCATGGTGAGGACAAAGCCAACACAGAAGAAAGAATTGAAGTGACATCAAAGATTAACCTCAGTGGAAGTTCAGAGGCTGACTACAACCAGGTTAGAGGGTAGCAGGAATATTCCAGCTGCTAGGAAACACATAAAGGCACAGAAGTGGGGGCACATAGAATGGGGAAAGCAAATCTTCCAGTTTGGCATGGATGCCACATGTAGAAGAGGAGGAAAGGCAGTTGAAAAAGGGGTCTGAGCAGCAACACAAGGAGCCCTGAGTACCAAGGCTGGATTCTGAACGTTATCCTACTAGCAACGGTAGCTACTGCTACACAAGTACAGTCAAATTCCTACCCAAGTAACAGGATCGGAACTAGGCTTCCTGAAGATACACGGACTGAGATCATCAACTGGAGATAGCTTAGAGGGCAAGAAGCTAAAGCAGAGAAATCTGTCAAGAAGCGATGTGCGAGCAAGGGTCCAAGTGAGAGGTAGGAAACTATTGAAGCGACAGAGAGGATAGAAAAGGGAAATGCAAATGCCAGGGAAACAGACCAAAGGACCCGATGAGTGACTGTGTAACATCCCAGCACACAGCCGGTGAGCAGTAATGTAGCTGCAGCCCCTGCTCTTCCCGCCCATGTGGCTGTTACTATTACTACTGCTGCTACTACCACAACTACTGCTATTCTTGTAATTACAACAGAAAACGGTTGATTCTACAACTCAAGGAAAAGGGGGCTGAACTTGAGAGCTAGACTGAGGAGGTCAGTTTTAAGCTTAAGAGTGCAGTTCCAAGAACAATGCAGTTGCAGGCATCTACAGAAAACTGAAATTCAAGACTAGAGACAATAATGCTGGGGGATCACATGAAAGTAGAAACTTAAGCCAGAGGGTAGATTCAGGTATCAGGCAAGACTGAGAGCAAAGGCCAGAACTTTAACAGGACTTGCTGCTTTACCCCTTGCTCCCACCACCCCAAGTCTTTCCCCAGAACACAGCCAGCATGATACCATTAAAAACATAGGTCTTATCCTGTCATTCTTTTTTTATTTTTATCTTTTTGAGTTGGAGTCTCACTATGCTGCCCAGGCTGGAGTGCAGTGATACACCCATGGCTACCGCAGCCCCGACCTGCAGGGTTCATGCGATCCTTCTGCTCAGCCTTCCAAATAGTTGGAACTCTTATCTGTTATTCTTTTACTGATAATCTTCTAAGAGCTTTCTCTCTCACCCAGTAAAGGCCAAAATTCTTTCAAAGACCTTCAGGGCCCTAGTCCCATCTTGACAACCTCATCTGCTATTAGGTTCCCCCTCATACACTGCTCTAGCCACACTGGCCTCCTTGCTATTTCCTGAATCTACCGGGCATGCTCTTACCTCGGGACCTTTGCATTTGATGTTGTCTGCCTGGAACACTCTTCCCGCAAATATCCACATAGCTCCCTCTCTTACCCTCTTCAGAACTTTGTTCAAATATCACTTTCTCATGAGGGCTGCCCTGACCACCTTAATTAAAAGCACAACCCCACCCTCACTCCTCACTTTCTCTGCTGTATTTTTCTCCATCACACTTATCAGCACCCAGCATTCTATATATTTTCCTTTTTTAATGTCTGTCTCCCAGAACCTAAAACAGTTCCTGGCAGGTAGTAGCTACTCCATAAACTATCTGAGGAATGATTGTACAAAGGAATGCAGGAGGAATCCAAGTTCAGGAACCAAAGAGAACTTACCCAAGCTATGTAGTTTTCTAATCTTGTGAAAATAAAAATTTAAGACTTCTTAGAACAGCCTTGGACACTATTTGAAACGTGTACGAAGGATACGAACTTCGATAGTGTCTCTCAATATCTTGCAACCATTCCAACATGTCAGCCACAGAGGGGCTTACAGCTGAAGGCTGCAGGACAACATCAATGCCAACTATATCTGCGTGTTGCTCATAGATCTGAAACACTCGCTCCACTTGCCTGCTGACTGTGTCCCGCACCTTGAGGAGGGTGGCTCTGAAAGAAAGAGTTTGACATTAGGTAATACCAAGAGAAAGGTATAAGGCAAAGTCCCTCAACTTTGGCACTGTATATAAATAGAGAGAGTTAGGGTCTCACTCTGTCATCCAGGCAAAGTTCCTCAACTTTGGCACTACTGATATAGATCTATAGATATAGATTAGATATAGTCATATGGATATAGACATAGATACAGATATAGATATATAGATATAGATATAGATATAGATATATGTAGAGTTAGGTCTCACTCTGTTATCCAGGCAAAGTCTCTCAACTTTGGCACTACTGATATATAGATATATATGTTGAGTTAAGGTCTCACTCTATCATTCAGGTTGGAGTGCAGTGGCACAATAATGTCTCACTACAGCTTCAACCTCCTGGGATCAAGCAATCATTCTGCCCCAGCCTCCTCAGTTGCAGGGACTATGCCTAGCTGATTTTTTTCTTTTTTTGGTTTTTTGGTTTTGCTTTTTTTTTTGCAGAGACAAGGTCTCACTATGTTGCCTGTGCTGGTCTCAAACTCCTGGCTCAAGGAATCCTCCTACCTCGGCCTCCCAAAGTGCTGGGATTACAGATGTGAGCCACTGCACCTAGCCCTAATATTTTATGACTCGCTGTTGTGGAGGACAGCCCAGTCCATCATAGGATGTTTAGGAATATTTCTGCCTGGATGACAGGACCATGCCACCAACTTCCCCAAGTTATAACAGTCAATGTCTTTATACGTTACTAAATGTCCCCTCATAGAAAAACTACCCCAATCAAGACCACTGCTCTAAGGAAATTAGTGACGGTGCCTTGAAGGCAAGGGTGGTTCAAAAATCAAGAACTGGCTTAAAGATGGAGAGGCTGAAGAAGCTATATGGCTCTCAAAGAGTGTGATAAGACTGGTTACCAAATAAAGACCAAGGGGCTTTTCTGGGGCTGCCATAAAACAGCATAAGGAGAGCAAATGCTCACTCATAGTCCCATACCATGTATGCGAAAAGGAAATAAACAAGAGGAAATGGAAACAACACACCAGTATTATCCACATGCTCCCAAGCCCCATCCTAGTAAATTCCTGAATGGTAAAGTTTGGGTTCTGGATGCACGCAGATTACTGTGGACCTCAGGAAAGTTATTTATTCTCCCTCAAGTATAACATCAGCCTCTTTCCCTCACTGCACATTCTAAGTACCTAGAACAGAAACTGTCAAATATAACGACATTTGCTCAATGAATGAAAAAGGTTATAATAAAGATTAAATGCAATAATGCATAAAAGTGCTTCGGGCAGTGCCAATCTTATGGTAAATATCATTATTACTTAATTGGTGACTCCAATGGGCCCAGCTAAGACAAAGAAAAATGTTTGCTCATGACTCACAATGAAAAAAATAGACTTAAGGCAAGACACAGTGGCTTACACTTATAATCCCAACACTATGGGAGGCCAAGGCAAGAGGACTGCTTGCACCAAGGAGTTCAACACCAGCCTGAGCAACATAGCAAAACCTCACTTCTACCAAAAAAAAAAAAAAAATTAGCCAGGCATGGTGGCATGCACCTGTTGTACCAGCTACTCAGGAATCTGAGGCAGAAGGATTGCCTGAGCCCAAGAGGCTGTGGTGAGCCTTAATCATACCACTGCACTCCAGCCTGAGTGACAGAGTAAGACCTTGACCCCATCCCCGCAAAAAGAAAAAATAGACTTAAGCTCTATTTCCTTGTACATTGTGATCAGCCTTTAACAAACGTACCGCCATAGTACCAGATGTAGATAGCAGGGAAGGTTGTGGGGGGGCAACAAGGGGTAAAAGGCCATTTCTGTACTTTCCACTCAATTTTGCTGTGAACCTAAAACTTCTCTAAAACATAAAGCTTATTAATGCTTTAAATATATCACTTAGTGGTTCTTCATATATTCACAAAGCTATGCAATCATCACCACCATCTAATTCTGGAACATATTCCTTATCTCAAAAAAGAAACCCTGCATTCATTATAGTCAATCCCCATTCCCCCTCCCTCCAGTCTCTGGCAACCACCAGTTACTTTGTCTTTATGGATTTGCCTATTCTTAACATCTCATGTAAATGGAATCCTAATAGGTAATCTTTGGTGGCAGGTTTATTTCATTTAGCATGTTTTCAAGGTTCATCCATGTGTACCATGTTATAGTATAGTCTTTCCTCAGCATTTACAGGGAATTGGTTCTAGGATGCCCCCACAAATAATAAAATTCACAAATGTTCAAGTTTTTTAAAAATATAAAATGGTATAGTATTTGCATATCATCTACACACACACCTTCCCATATACTTTAAATCATGGCTAAATTACTTATAAGACCTCATACAATGTAAATGCTATGTAAATAGTTGCCATACTCTATTATTTAGGGAATAATGACAAGAAGAAAGTCTATACATATTCAGTACAGACACAACCATTTCTTTTTTTTCCTGCCCCCATCTGTGGTTGGTTGAGTCCACAGATGCAGAACCCATGGATATGAAAGGCCAATTGCACTTAATTATTTCTTATGGCTGATTAATATTCCATTGTGCAGATATAACACATTTTGTCTGTTGATAGACATTTGGGTTAAGGCCACCTTTTGGCTATTCTGAATAATGCCAATTTCCATGGAGTTGTTAAACTACTACTACCAATCAGGGAGTTAACCTCTACAGAAACTGTCTATGACCAAGCAAGAGGTTCTTGGGGATTTCTGCCTTCATTCCTCACCAAAGTCCCCTCAATTCAGAGACAAGAGGCAGCTCTATAGTGACCATAACCCTCTACACAGCTTATCCAGTTTCATGAGCTGGCTTACCTCTCCAATCTCAGCTCTTATCACCCCCTGGTCCAGCCATACTATTCTTTTTTTTGAGTTGGCGTCTCACTCTGTCACCCAGACTGGAGTGCAGTGGCCGCTCCTGGCCACTGCAGCCTCGACCTGCTGGGCTCCAGCAATCCTTCTGCCTCAGCCTTCCAGTAGCTGGAACTACAGGCGTGCGCTACCACGCCCGGCTAATTTTTTGATTTATTGTAAAGATGAGGTCTTGCCAAGTTGTCCAGGCGGGTCTCGAACCCGTGGGCTCAGGCAATCCACTCACCCAGCCTCCCAAAGTGCAGGATTACAGGCTGAGCCACCAAGCCCGGCTCAGCCATACTATTCTTTGTGCAACACCAGTCATACCCACCTCTTCAGGTTTTTTATACCACTTCTTCCCAGAAGCTTTTCCCCTTCTCATAGGCTGCACTTATCACTATCTTAGAACATACCACAACATAATGTATTTGACTGACTGTTAATCTCTTCTATTCAACGAAGAACAGGAACTGAATCTGGTTCATTGTCATATTCCCAGCACCCTGTGCTTGACATCTCATAGGTGCTTCATAAATGTACATTGTACAAAAGAACGGTTCCCATCTTTGACAGTTTCCTATTAGGCCATGGTACAGACTCTATACACCGAACTTTCTTTTGTTCTGGGTCAAGGAAAAGCCACACATGCCCTGTCTTTTCTCTGTCCTCAATAATCCATAACTCTGACAATAACCATAAATCAGAGCCTGGAGACATGCTACTCCTGGGCACAGAGATATGAATGCCCAGCAAAACAAAGTGGTGGTAAAAGCCCTGGCTTTGGTGTCAGGCATACTTGAATTCAAATTTACAAGTTGTGTGGCCATGAGTAATCTACTTAAGCCTCAGTTTCCTCGCCTGCAAAATGGATTTAAGCAAGGTTAAATTGCAGATGTGTTGAAAGCACCATATGAGATAACGTATGTAAAACTCTTAGCTCTGGCACCACTAAGTTTACAACAAGCTCCGCATTGCCTTTGACCCAAGAAAACCACAGAGGAGGGCTAATAAGCTTTCTCTACTTCTTTTCTGTTCTGCTTTTGCGACTTCTACTAAGCCCACCACTGCCATGCCTAGCCTCTGACACCTGAGAGGTCCCCCTGCCACTTGGAAGGCAGCGAAGGCTGAGACACTTCCAAACGCCGTGCTTTCGAGGAGGGGGAAAAATGCCTTTGACTGGTCCTAGCTACTTATAAGACATCCAGTTTTTAGCCGGGCTCGGTGGCTCAGCCTGTAATCCCGTGCCTTTGGGAGGCTGAGGTGAGTGGGTTGCCTGAGCCCGCGGGTTCGAGACCTGCACTCCAGTCTGGGCGACGGAGTGAGACTCTAACTCAAAAAAAAGACATCCAGTTTTTAAATCTCTCCGCCAAAACGACGTAGCCCCTTACAGCTTCTCCCCGAGCTGGTCCAGAACTGCATCACCGGCCGCCAGCTGCTTGCGTCTCAGCCGCTCCTTCAAGTCGGGGAAGGCCCGGAGCGCCGGCAGCTCCTCCCAGCGCAGGCTGTGCGCGGCCTGCAGCTGCTCCGCCAGGCTGCCGAGGGAGGCCAGCAGAGGCTGGCAGTCCCGCACGGCGCTCTGCCACAGGCCCTGCTGCTCCTCCACCACCGGAAAGCACTTTCTCAGGGCCTCCTGCACGGCAAGCAGAGGCCGGTCTGGAGTCATCTTCTGTTTAAAAAAAAAAGAAAGAAAGAAAGAAACGGCGTCACGGTGCCAGGCCAGCAGAGGATGCACTGGGTGGAGGTGGGCATCATCTCTGTCCTCGGACAGGAGCTCGCGCGACGCATCGTCTCACCTTCAGAAGAGGGTCCGAAGGGAGAACCTGGCTCCTGCCTCCGCAAGGGGTCCTGGCTATCGTTCGGAGGCGTCTCTAGAATAGGAAAGTCTCCTGCTTGAGGATCAGATTTCGCGGGGCTCCAACGCTGTTTCCCTTCCCTGCCGGTAGCGTCTCTGAATCAGTGGGAAAACTTAAGAGCGAAGGCAGCCACGCCTGAGAAGCTGCCGGGGCCGCCACCAAGTGCCCGCCTGCTCGCTCTGCGCCTGCTCAAAAGCGAACACCCTCGACAGCGCAACTTCAGGCCTGGGGGCTACTGAGTCGCGAAGGCGTGTCGGCGACCGCAACGAGCTCTGGGTACTGCAGTCCTACGTGTGGACGGGTTGCCGGGCTGTGAGGCTTCCCTGTGATTGGATGTTGGAACCGCCCTCCCACCGCGACTTCACATTCGTACGCACGTGGCTGTTTGAACTGGACAGCGGCTGTGGAACGTCCCGGTAGCCACGGAACAAATTTCTCTCAGCTTGCACCTTCAGCTGAGCCTTAATGACACTGTTTTGAGATTGTGTGGCACAATCAACTGGCAAAAGCTAGTGATTCACAGGCTCCTGCCATGTGGTAACTCTGGATAAGATGCAGGTGGAGGGCCGGGCTCGGTGGCTCAGCCTGTAATCCCAGCGCTGTGGGAGGCCGAGGTGAGTGGATTGCCTGAGCCCGCAGGTTTGAGACCCGCCTGGGCAACTTGGCGAGACCTCATCTCTACAATAAATCAAAAATTAGCCAGGAGGGCTAGAGCACGCCTGTAGTTCCAGCTACTTGGAAGGCTGAGGCGCAAGAATTGCCAGGGCCCAGCAGATCGAGGCCGCAGTGGCCGGGAGCGGCCACTCCAGTCTGGGTGATAGAGGAGACTCCAACTCAGAAAGAAAAAAAAAAAGATGCAGATGGACATCCTAGGTTCCCAGGGAAGTCGGGCCCATTGGGGTGAAGCCCTGAGACACAGAGGCCAGGAAACCCAACTTGCCCAGCATTCACACTTGCTGGGGGGGAAATCCACATTTCATACGGAGTTGTCATCGCCTCTAATCTTGGCCATCTAGATGGAGACCCTCAGGGAGTCACCCCTACCCACTGCCCAGGACTGATCCCGGGCGGAAGAACGACTTTCAGATACTTGTAGCATCTGGAGCAATAAGCCAGGGTGGAATAGAGAGAGGAGACCTTCCAGGAAGGACCAGGTTTGCCGGGCTCCTGCCTGGGCTGCTCTGTCCCCAAGCCTGCTGTGCCCATCAGGAGCCTGTCTGGCAACTTCGTATGTGCCCTCGACTGGTTCTGAACGGGGGGGAGGTAACACTATTTATCCCTTCCCTCACCCACATGCACACTCAAACACAGACACGACCCCTCTGACTTGGCTTCAGGCGAATCCACAGGGTGAAGAGCATCAAACCCAAAAGTCACAAACCTGTCAAGAGCTCACCTGTCTGGCTGTCCAGTCGCCCTCCGGCCTCGAGACTTGGGCTACAGCCCTGATGCCTGGAGCCTTCGGCACTGGCCTCTAGCCCTGCTGAGCCTCAGGACAAGCCCTGAGCCATCCAACCCATTGGCCGTGGGGAGCTGTCAAGATGCACAGTTAGCACCTCGGACAGGAAAGCGGCTCGGCGGGGCTCGCCGTCTACATGCTCGTTCTCAGGCCCACGGTCAGGACACCCAGAGCTGCCTTCTGCCCTGAGCTCCCTGGAGTCTGGCTGCCGCGGCTCCTGCTGCAGTCACTATCGGGGCGCGTAAGAGCCGCCAGCGCGGAGCCACTAGTTACACCTGGAGTCCTGGCTGTGGCTCCGCAGACGTCAGGGGCCCGCGCTGCACTCCCGGCCGAGGCTCCAGGACGCAAGCCTGGAGCGTGTCTACTGTGGAGTGAGGGGCGGGAAGGCTGGCCCTTTCTGTTGCTCAGACTGGCCGGAGGCTGGCGCGGGCTGGGGTGCCCACCACAAAGCCAGCTCCCCAGTCCACCCACTCACTGGTGCCCACCCCACTCTCCTGTCATTCCGTCCCGGACCCGGCCTCTTCCAAACCCTGCCAGGGTTGCTGCCCCCACCGACCCTTCCACTTGCCCCAAGTTTCCTCTGCTCGGCCCGGGACGTGGGGAGCCCTCATGAGCGCCGAGGTCGACAGCAATCTGTCAGTAGGCCACCATGAGTGCGGCGGCCCCTCGGCTGCTCAGAGGCTGCCAGACCAGACAGCCCAGCCGCAGCGGACAGCTGGCCTGGCGGCAGCTGTCCACAACCCCCAAGTGCTTCGACTTTCTGGGGCCACCGCAAGACCTGCCAGGTGTAGTAATTCGTAGCCCGCCAGGGTCAGAGGTGGAGACGCGGGGAAGGAGGGGGGGCGAGACTTGGACCACAACTCCCAAGAGGCTCCGCGGCAGCGGCCGCTCTGACGCACGAAGGCAGTAGGGGGCGCTGCGGACGGAGGACCGCGGGTCGGCAGGAACTTGGGTGTGATTGGCTGTTGTGGAACCGTCCTAAGACTGCGGCTTCTCATTGGCCAGACTGTGGCAGTGGAGTTTGAATTGGGTGGCGGTTAGCTGCAGCTGGCCCAGCGAGGAGGTTTTTCTCCTCTCCTATTTTGGGACCACAGGTACGTGTCTGGCGACTTCTTTACGCCCAGACCGCGAAGCGGGGTGGATACCAGTCACCCCACCTCGCTCCCACGCGGCTCCTGTTTTTCCTCCGCTCCCCGCAATCTCCACCGAAGCGCCATGGCCCCTAGGAAAGGTAGCAATCGTGTGGCCAAGACCAACTCCTTACGGAGCCGGAAGCTGGCCTCCTTCCTTAAAGACTTCGACCGTGAAGGTAAGCGGCAGAGCCGGGCCGTCGCGGCTACCTGGGGCGTTCGCGGTGTACTGGCGGGTTGGGACGCGGGCGGCACGGATTCGCCCTTCCAGTGACCGGTGTCTCGTGGGTTCTGCCCTCTCGCAGTGGAAATACGAACCAAGCAAATTGAGTCAGACAGACAGAACCTGCTCAAGGAGGTGGATAACCTCTACAACATCGAGATCCTGCGGCTTCCTAAGGCTCTGCGCGAGATGAACTGGCTCGACTACTTCGGTAAGAGCTGCTAGAGTGTCCCCAGAACCTGGAGCCCCTCTGTGCTTATCTAACTCCCTTCAGGAAGGACTCGCTCAGTGTCACTTCTTAATGAGGTCTAACAGGATTACTTATGGAAAATTACAGCCCTCCCGCTCCCTGCCACTCCCTATCGCTCCCTATCTCACGTCCCTGCTTCATTTCCCCCCCATCATTTTCTCTAAAGGCCTAGCTAGCAAATATTTTAAGCTATTGAACCAGAGGGTTCTGTGTTCGACAACTCTGCTGTTCTAAGAAAACTATAATGGGGAAACTGGATTCCAAAAAATTTTATTTATGGAAACACTAAAATGTGTTTCACATAATTTTCACATGATAAAATATTTTCTGGATCTATACATATATACACAAATACGTGTATATATACATACATCTATACTATAGATATATGATACGAGAGGGGATCCCCCCAACAAAAGCAATTATCTTTTGGAGGGCTAGGCTTTTCCCACTAGGTAAGTGTTTAGGAACCCATCAGCATCAGTGTACCAGCTAGCTTGTTGTAAGAGGCTGCAATCGACATCCGTGAACTTTTTTTGGGAGATTCTTTCAGTGCATTTGCCTGTTTCATTATGGGTGATTTATGAGCACACCTACCCACACTCAGAATGTTCAGCAGTTTTTGACCGAAAAATAAAATGATACCTTTGCCCCACCGTTCCTATTCACCCAATCTCACCCTGAGTGACTCTTTTTGATGCCCTTTTATTTTGGAAAAAGTCCTCAAAGGGAAATTGTTGCCACTGTGGAAGAGGTGAAACCAAAAACAGCAGAAGCACTAAAAGGCATCAAAATTAACGAGTTCAAAAACTGTTTTGAGCAATGGAAAAAGCACCTTGATAGGTGTATTGCATCAAATGGAGAGTACTTTGTAGGTCCCTGAAGTTTAAATATTTAAGAATAGAGGTGGGCACAGTGGCTCATGCCTGTAATCCAAGGGTTGCCTGAGCCCATGGATTCAAGACCAGCCTGGGCAACTTGGTGAGACCTAAAATAAATCAAAAAATTAGCTGGGCGTGGTAGTGCATGCCTGTGGTTCCAGCTACTTGGAAAACTGAGGTGGAAGGATCGCCTGAGCTGTGGTGGACATGAGTCTGAGCATGCCACCGCACTCCAACCTGGGTGGCAGAGTGAGACTCCCAACTCAAAAAATAAAAAATAAACAAATAAACATGTAAGAATAAAAATACAATTTTTAAAATAAATAAATTCCATTTTTGGGGGGTCCCCTCATATATATATCTTTATCCGGACCATTTAAAATGAATGAATAAATGACCTGGGTTGTTAACCAGAGCTCAAATGGTAGAATAACCCTAGCAGTTCTTTTGCTAGCTTATGAAAATTACCAACTTAAAAATGGACAAGTCAGTTTTCCTGGCCAGAAAAAAAATCCCAGCCTGTTACCCCACTCCCTTGTTCAAACTCCAAAGAAATGCAAGAGGCTATGCTTTCTCCTGGGTTACCTTAACCTTTTCTGATTTCCTTAGTATTAATTACCCAGTACGTAGTCTCTTTCCTGGGTAGAAACACATTTTCTGCTCACATATTAGACTTTTAATGATCCTTTTGACTTGCCCTTTTATTAAGCCATTCGTTCACTCATTTCTACAAATATTGAGCATGAGTCAGTAACAGTGTTAGATGCTGAAGATGCACTGGGTAATAAATAGACATTGTCCCTGCTCTCAGCATACAGATTAGTGGGAAAGGGCTATTTTAATTTTTATTTTATTTTATTTTATTTTGAGTTGGAGTCTCACTCCATTGCCCAGGCTGGAGTGCAGTGGCACGCTCACAGCCACCCCAGCATCCACCTGCTGGGCTTCAGTGATCTTTCCGCCTCAACCTTCCAAGTAGTGGGAACTACAAATGTGAGCTACCACGTCCGGCTATTTTTTATTTTATTGTCTCTACAATAAATAAAAAAACTTAGCAGGGCATGATGGCACACACCTATAGTTCCAGATACTTGGAAGGCTGAGGTGGAAGGATTACCTGAGCCCAGCAGGTCAAGGCTGCAGTGGCCGTGAGGGTGTCACTGCACTCCAGCCTGGAAAACAGTGAGACTAAAAAAAAAAAAGACATTTAAACAACTTTGAGTCATCGTTGGGTACGATGAGAGTGAGCAACTAACTCAGCACTTTGCAGCAATCTGCTGAGATAGAAAAATAAGCAGTCTGAAGTTGATATATGAGCTGAGTTTTGAAGGAAAAGAACTTGGAGAAAGAATAGATTAGATGGTGAAGGTCCTTGAATGTTAGACTAAGTGCTGGACCAGTTTTAGAAAGATAAATGGTAGGCAAGATGATTTATTGTTAAAATCTAAGAGTAACTAAATAAAATGTTCTTTTTAAAGCCCTTGGAGGAAACAAGCAGGCCCTCGAAGAGGCAGCAACAGTAAGTGACCTGTCCTATTTTTAAGCTGTTGGTTAGTTCTTAAGTCAAGACTAGTCACAGAATCCAAACATTGGGTGCTTACTGTGGAAGAGGTTTCATAAGAAGACATCGTCTGTTTGTGTCAACTGTTTGACTCAACTCCATTAGAGTGGAGTCAAAAGCTGAGTACGTGCGGCTAAAATAGTTCCAAGCCCTATTTTGGGCAGGTTTCTTGTAGTCTTTTGCCCTGAACTCTACAGGAGAAGTAGAAAGGCTCAAGCCCAAGTTCCTTTAAGCTCCTGGATCATTACACTGAAACCTGGCCTGCTAGATGACAAAGAGATGTTTTACCAAGCCATACTGTAGAAGCATGCTCTTGCTTGGGACTCAGTACTCCCCAACCCTTCTCACCTTCTTTCTAGCATCAGTACCAGGATCTAAGGCAGTAAGATGGGGAGGCAAAATAAAGACTTTAGATCTGGACTGTCTAACAATAGGCACCAGGCACATGCAGCCATTTCAATTAATTAAAATTAAGAATTTTACCCAGTGTGGTGGCTCACACCTATAATCCCAGCACTTTGGGAGGTCAAAATAGGAGGATTGTTTGAGGCCAGAAATTAGACCAGCCTGGGCAAACATAGTGAGACCTGTCTCTACCACACACACAAAAATATTATTTTTTTTAAAAAATAGATTTTCCTCAGACATACTAGTCACATTTCAGATGTTCAGTCGCCACATGTGACTAGCAGCTACTGCATCATTCTACAGAAATAGGCCATTACTTCTCTGCAGAAAGTTCTGTTGGATAGTTTTGGGAGCTACTCTATTCAGAGAAAGAAAGAGAGAGAGAGAGTGTGTGTGTGTGTGTGTGTGTATGTGTATGTGTGTTCGTACATGCATTTATATCTGTCTGGGGAGAAAGTTCACTGTAGCGTTCATCAAATTTAAAAAGGGAACCCCAAAATCAACATCTTTCATTTCTTTTTTTTTTTTTTTTTTTCTTGAGTTGGAGTCTCACTTCATCGCCCAGGCTGGAGTGTACCAGCTGGGCTCAGGCGGTCCTTTCGCCTCAGCCTTCCAAGTAGCTGGAACTACAGGCTTATGCTACCATGCCCGGCTAATTTTTTTAAATTTATTTATTGTAGTGACGAGGTCTCATCAAGTTGCCTGGTCTGGTCTGGTCTCTAACCCGCGGGCTCAGGCAATCCACTTGCCTTGGCCTCCCAAAGTGCTGGGATTACAGGCTGAGCCACTGAGCCTGGCCAACATCTTTAGTTTCATTTGAGATCTCTGGGTTTGAAAGAGTTTGACTACAGAGGGCACATGGTAGCACTGGCTAGCAGAGCTCCACTAGCTTTAGAAGTTGAAGGTAATAAGTTGATTGTGTGCCAGATGTGGTGGCTCATGCCTGTAATCCCAGCACTTTGGAAGGTGGAGGCGAGAGAATTGCCTGAACCCACGAGTTCGAGACCAGCCTGGACAATATGGCGAAACCTTGTCTCTACAATAAATCAAAAAATTAGCAGGGAGTGGTGGTGCATGCCTGTAGTTCCAGCTACTTGGAAAGCTGAGGTGGAAGGATCACCTAAGCCCAGCAGGTTGAGGTTGCGGTGGCCATGAGTGTGCCACTGCCCTTCAGCTGGGGTGACAGAGTGAAACTCCAACTCAAAAAAAAAAAAAAAAAGCCAGTTGTAGAGTTTACAGTAAATATTGCAGGAGAGGGGTGGGGATTATTAACCCTCTACACATACCCTGCTCTAATGTTTCAAAAGAATTATTGCTGAGCTGAATTACACTAATTAGCTAATGTATCTCTGTCTTTTTAAATTAATCAGACATACAGAATTTCTAATGTAATATGAAAGATCCAGTGTTATCACACCGAGTTGAGAGAGTTTTAGCTTTAGTTAATGTGATTTAAAACCCAGGAAAGGAGCCGGGCTTGGTGGCTCAGCCTGTAATCCCGCGCTTTGGGAGGCTGAAGTGAGTGGGTTGCCTGAGCCCGTGGGTTCGAGACCCGCCTGGGCAAGTTGGCGAGACCTCATCTCTACAATAAATCAAAAAAATTAGCTGGGCATGGTAGCGCGTGCCTGTAGTTCCAGCTACTTGGCAGGCTGAGGCAGAAGGATCACTGGAGCCCAGCAGGTCAAGGCTGCGGTAGCCGGGAGCGGCCACTGTATTCCAGACAAGAGTGAGATTCCAACTCAAAAAATAAAATAAAACCCAGGAAAGGAATGAAGCAGAATATGTAAAAGCTCTTAATTAGGAAGCATGTTGGAGGTTCCCAAGACCTCCTCTAGGTTTGGTGAGTCCCTAGGAGGACTCACAGGGCTCAGCACACAACCATACTCATGGCAATAATTGATCACAATGAAAGGATACAAAGCAAAATTAGCAAAGGGTAAAAATGCATAAGGCAAAGTCCAGAGGAAGCCAGGCACAAGCTTCCAAGAGTTCAGTCCCAGGAGAGTCACATAGGACATGCTTGATTCAACCTGTGAAATGTTGTCTACCAAAAAAGCTCATTAGAGACTTGATGCCCACAGTTTTTACTGGGAACTGGTCATGTAGGCATCCTCTGCCTAGCATGTATCATTTCCAGAAGGAAAAGCAGGTCTTCAGCATAAACCACATTGTTTGCATAAAGTTTAGGCACAGTGAGGCATTCTTATCGAGGAATGATGGGAAACTTCCTGAAATTCAGCTTCCCAGATGCCAACCAAGACCAACCTTGCAAACAGACCTTTCTACATATATCAGTCTCAGGCCTGCTATGTTAACTCTTCTGCACATAAGTGTTCAGTGGCCTGCCACCAGTGATAATTTCATAACATGCCAGTTGTTTCAAGGGATAGCAGAAAGTTGGCAGGAATACACCACTTTCTATTCCATCAACCATGGCAGGCATCATAGCAGTGTTTCTTGCTGAGCTAGGACTGCTTCATAATCCTTCTCTGAGCACTTTAAGTAGTCCCTACCAATCCAGAGATGAAACCTATGCCATTCCAAGCCTGTACTAGTTATCTGGTATTTACATTTGTTGTATGAGGAAAGAAATCCAAATCATGCCTGCTTTTTGTAGTGCCCATAGACATGGGTAGTCACCACTGTGAAAAAAATCTAATTTAAATGGTGACTGGAAGTCTTTTTGAAAATCTCAGGAGCATCATGGAAACCTTATTGGAACCCTGTAGACTTAAAAGAGAGAGAGAGAGAAGTCTGACACAGCACCAAGAGTTGTAGAAAATGTGGGTCATTAGGAACTTTGCAGATAAGGTATAAACAAGTACAACCACTTTGGAAAATGATCTGGAGTAATATCAAGGCTGACCATTTTTTGTGAACATTTCTAGATTTTTTTTTTTTTTTTTTTGAGTTGGAGTCTCACTCTGTTGCCCAGACTGGAGTGCCGTGGCCACTCCCAGCCACCGCAGCCTCGACCTGCTGGGCTCCGGCGATCCTTCCGCCTCAGCCTTCCAAGTAGCTGAAACTACAGGTGCGCGCTACCATGCCCGCTAATTTTTTTATTTATTGTAGAGATGAGGTCTCACCAAGTTGCCCAGGCAGGTCTAGAACCCACGGACTCAGGCAATCCACTCACCTCAGCCTCCCAAAGCACTGGGATTACAGGCTGAGCCACCGAGCCCAGCTGCTGACCATTTTTGTAACCTACAACCCTGGCATGCCCTAGGTAAGGGTAGAGCCAAGAGAAAATGTGGACAGGTGTATCAGACACATGTAAAACAGTTCAAAGTAGCAGTGTTTGTAACAGCAAAAATCTATTGATGGGAGGATGAATAAATCCATTGTGGAATCACATGGTGGGAGATTATTTATATAGCAGTAGAAACAAGTTTACTATAACCACAGATGGTGGGCAAAAACAGGCCAAAAAAAAAAAAAAGTTTAGATAAACACACTTGTGGAAAACCATGTATGTATATGTGTGTATATATACACATACTTTTTATTAAGCAAATTGAATGATAGTGGTTACTTCTGGGGAATGATTGGAATAGACTGGTTATCTTTGAGGGAAGAGACAAGGAAATAGAACAGAGAACATTGCTAGAAATAAGATATTAGTAATGTTTTAGGTCTTGGGTTGTGTGGTGGGTATATGGGAGTTTGCTATATTGTATTATAACTAACATTTAACAATTGTTTGTTATGTATCAAAGAATAGTTTTGTAAAATTGTTTTTCATCTTAAAATATTCCTCATATTTGGTGAAATACACCTGGTACTTTCTGGTTATGTTTGACACAGGCTGACCTGGATATCACTGAAATAAATAAACTAACAGCAGAAGCTATTCAGACACCTTTGAAATCAGCTAAAAGTGAGTACTTTTCAAAACCTCTTGTTGAATGGAGCCTACTGATATGCAGGGTGTTTGGTTAGCTGCTGAGGCAGGGCCTCCTTGGTCAAGACTCTTCCCTTTAATGTCTGGTCTTCAATCTCATAAATCCAAAAATTTGCTGCTGCATTCAGTTCATTATGTGCAGAACTGATACTAACCAAGCTCATAAGACCCACGTGTGAGCTAAAGTAGAACTAAAAGGAGAAAAAAGAAACTGTGCTAAAAACCAAACTGTTGCCTGCTTGCTTTCCTCTGTGCTAGATGACAAGATGTAGAGAAGTGTTAGAAGACCGATAATACCAACTGAGATGCTCCCTGATATAATCAGCAGGGTTGAAAGAATTGTGAAAGGAACAACTTTTTCAGCATGCAATTCCGAGTTACTCAATATAGCAACCTATCCATGTAAAATCATCTTACGTGCATGTCTCACACTCTGAGAAACCCTGTCTTATAGGAAAAGTCATATGGGAAACTGGGTTGTGACTAGTGAGCATGGAATCAAGTCAGGATGAATTATGACATGGACTTAATTTCACTGTCATTAAGCTATGGTAGAGATGCATCCAACTCTTTTAAGAATAGTCTTGACCCATGGCAAGATTTCAGGGTTGCCCACTAGGGCACCCTCTGTACTGGGTAGATCCACAAACACTGGGTCTCACTCTGTCACCCAGGCTGGAGTTCAGTGGCATGATCATGATCATGGCTCACTGCAGCATCAACCTTCTGGGCTCAGGCAATCCTTCTGCCTCAGCCTCCTAGTAACTGGAACTACAGGCATATACCACCATGCCCGGCAAATTTTTTAATTTTTTTGTGGACACTAGGTCTCACAATGTTGCCCAGGCTGGTTTTGAACTCCTGGACTCAAGCAATCCTCCCCTTTCGGCCTCCCAAAGTACTGTGATTATAGATGTGAGCTACTGCACCAGACTCACTGTCCACTTCTCATTCCGATTTGCCTTTTATCAGAACTGCTATGTAGAATGAAGAAAGCATGATGAGTTTTTTGCTTTCCTAGTGTTAGTCCAGTCAGTAGCCTCCCTGAAGTTATGACATAATTAGACTTGGATGTTCCTAGAGCTCCTCAGCCACCTATTTATAATCTTTTAGGTCAATTTGGGTCATTTCTATAGTTAGGTAACTGTCAACAGTTAAAATTGTTTTTGTAGACTGGGTGCGGTAACTCATGCCTATAACCCCAGCACTTTGGGACACCGAGGTGAGAGGATTGCCTGAGCCCACGGGTTCCAGACCAGCCTGGGCAACTTGGTGAGACCTCATCTCTACAATAAATCAAAATGTTAGCCGGGCATGGTAGTATGTGCCTGTAGTTCCAGCTACTTGGAAGGCTGAGGAGAAAGGATCACCTGGGCCCAGCAGGTTGAGGTTGCAGTGGCTGTGAGCGTGCCACTGCACTCCAGCCTGGGTGACAGAGTGAGACTCCAAGTCAATAAATACATTTTAAAAAATTGTTTTTGTGCCCTGGACCTGAAGACCACCTGACTTTGACTACATGTAAGCTTTTTTCTCCCCCCATTTTTTTAAGACATGATTTTACTCTGTCACCCCAACTGAAGTGCAGTGGTACAATCATGACTCCCTCAGTTTCCAACTTATGGGCACCAGTAATTCTCTTGCCTCAGCCTCCTGAGTAGCTGGAACTATAGTGCATACCACCACATCAGGCTGATTTTTCTTTCTTTTCTTTTTTTTAGAGGCAGGGTCTTGCTTTTATTGCTCAGACTTGTCTTGAACTCCTGGCCTCAAGCAATACTCACCCCTTAGCGTCCCAAATTGCTGGGATTATGGGTGTGAGCCACCACACACAGTTTTTTTTTTTTTTTTTTTTAAGATAAATATATGGCCGGGCTCGGTGGCTCAGCCTGTAATCCCAGCACTTTGTGAGGTTGAGGTGAGTGGATTGCCTGAGCCCGTGGGTTCGAGCCCAGGCAACTTGGTAAGACCTCATCTCTATAATAAATAAAAAAATTAGCCAGGCATGATGGCGCACACCTATGGCTTCAGCTACTTGGAAGGCCCAGCCTGGGTGACAGTGAGACTCTGACTCAAAAAAACAAATCAACCAACCAAAAAAAGCATGTATTGTTATTTAATCTGTCCAAAATTCAGCTGACAAAAAAAGCTTAAAAGTAATATGGTTCCACCTCTCCCCTTGATTAAATATCTTGAGATATTATATATTTAATACACATAAAAATAGCAAGCACGCTTTCAGTGGAGCCTCATAGTGTCCCCTAAAGTAACTGCTCCCTGTTAATTACTCTGATTAGTTTGCTTTGTCTTTTTTAACTGTCACCTTTATTTTGAGTCTATTTCTTTTATATTTATTTATATATATGTGTGTATATATATATATATATATATATATATTTTTTTTTTTTTTTATATATATAAAAAA